AACTTTTATTTGTTACTTTTCGGTAGAAATCTGCATGGCATCGGTAGGTTCCTTGACAAATCGATAGATCTACCGAAAAATCGGTAGACTTGGCATCTCTGATTGGAACACCGGGCTAAAGTTGATAACGCGAGTCACTAGAGCACGGTTGCCATATCCGTACAAGGTTTAACTAATCCGCCGCTGAATTTCAACGGTGCATACCAGCTGGGTTGTTAAACCGGATTAATTTTTAAACGCGTTTAGTTGATCGCGATTAGGTAGGTTGGCGGTGCATACGGCGGTTAGTCGGAAAGCACAGAAGATCACTTCGCCCACTGCCTCATCGCCTTTGATAATGTCCACCGCAGTTGTGGACGAAACGTCAGGAAGAAACTCCCATAGACCAAGCCCGGAAAACATTACTAAATGAAATATTTAGTGATTTCAAACCTTTGAGCAAGGAACCCGTTTATTAAGCGCTTCAAGCACAAATGTTCCGCATAAAATTATCTTTTTCTGAAAAGGCCGACATTTTATTGAAATTGCCCTTCAACTTTTGATGATAACATTCATCCCCTTATTTACAACAGGGTGTGTTCGGGGAAGATGTGTGGCCCCATCAATATGTGAATGCGATTTTGGATATGTGGGAGCAAACTGTTCCATTCAGTGTCTTTGCAATGGCCATTCTAATTGCGAAGGACCCGACAAGTTGGATACCTGCCTCGAGTGCCATAATAATACCATGGTATGCCGGTGCATTACGGGCATTTACAATATGAACAATTCCGAATTTTTTCAGGGCGATAGATGTCAGTATTGCAAGCCGCTGTTTGTTGGTGATCCCGCAAATAGGTCGCCTTGTGTGCCTTGCTTGGAATATTGTCACGGACACTCGGCCTTTTGCGTAGATCCAGCTGATGGGATACAACCAAACGACTATGTTGACCAAGAAAGTTTGCTTGAATCGCTGAAAGAAGGACCAAAGAACCTAGCCAGATGTCTAAGGTAATTTAAATTCGATTCACATTTACAGACTGTTAACGATCGTGTTGTTTCAGATGTTCGAATCACACGACCGGTGAAAGGTGTGAAAGATGCATATCAGGCAATTTCCGAGGTTCTGAGGAATTGGAGGACGCATGTCGACCCTGCGAGTGTCACGGACATGGAACGGTTTGTGATGCGGTAACTGGTGATCAGTGCGATTGCCAAAATAACACAGTGAGTGACGAATGCGGACAGGGACGCAACTCTGCGCAACCATGTTGGCAGGTAAAATTTCTTTGATTAATACCTTACCAAATATATTGTCACAAGAGTGGGTTCGAACGAATTCAATCGAAATTCTTCTAATCAACTTGCGGCGTTTCTGCTAGTTTAATAATTATTCATCAGGTTCAATGTTCGAGATGCAGAGAGGGCTTTTTGGGAACTCCAACAAGGGGAAGGCAGTGTTACCGACAAATGTCTGTAGACAACAAAATGTGTTTTGACGCGAAGCCGATTGGTGAGTCGTACTACAAAATAGCATATGCAAGAACCAACATAAAATGATATTTTGCTGATGGTGACTCGATTTTTTTCATTCTAGATGAGTGCAAAAATCCAAAGCCGTTACATCCAGGAGATGTTGTCTTTTTTGTCATCCAACCTAGATTTATGAATGTGGACATTCGGATCGTTATCGATGTAACGTTAGGCCGCCTAAATGTATTTATGAGCACGCATGATGATACTTACATAGCTTACCCAAACACCACCACAGGACTAAATGATGTACTTCTCGATACATTTTATCGGTAATACTTTAGGTGGTCAATTAATTTGTACATTTGTTAGTTTTCCCTAATTATTATCTAGGCCATTCGATAATGGATCTAGAAAATCGGAGAACGTCCACATAAACACGGAAGCAACAGGACTTAGAACGTATATCACCATTACAAAGCCGAAAACAATATTAACCGTTAAAAATCTGCAAGCGCGGTTGGTTATTACTCTGCCAGAGGTACGTTAAGAAGTGAGAGCGTGACAATTTGCTCTTTATAACAAGGGCGGATCCA